CCGGGAGCACATTGTGCTCACACGGAGGCTGACGTACGTACACCATAACCATACACATACAGCGACGTACACAAATACATAACAATCCACGTTCGGAGCTGCTACTGGTGGCGGTGCTCCATCTCCACAGTGTTACGGAACGACAGTCCGAGAGGGGCCCACTTTCTATCGTGCTCATTGTTCTTATTATTAATTTTGGCATTATACTTCTCACTGTCCTTGTCTGCTTTCAGGATTGCAATTAAAGCCGAAATTGATGGTACTCTTTTTGAACAAATGATGTGCACTGCAGCACTTACACAGTGATTTGCCAATGCATCATCCGTTATTCCCAGAATTACCTTTTGTAATGCGATTTTTTCAGCTAGAAAACCAAGTTGCTTGCCTCTAAACCACGCTTTCAACTCAGTCCATAGGCCTTTGGCTCTCGGACAGAACCAGACTCTGTGTTGAATGTCATCTAGTTGCCCACAATATTCACATTCATCTGAGTTCCTGATGTTCATCATTTTTAACAAGCTGTTTGTCGCTAGTATACGAGTAATTATTTTATATTTCGTACTTCTGTACTGCATTGGGGTTTCTTTTAATGTTAAATAAATTTCACTCCAATTTAAGGCAGGGAACTCGCTTTCCCATTTCGCCTCCCATTTGTTGTTTTGGCATTCAGTTTTCTTTCTTACTAGGACATTGTACGCATTAATGACTCGAGTTTCTGGGCTTAAAATAAAGCCAATGACCGGATCAACAATTGGCTGTTCCACCTTGTGCCTGTCCTGTGATGTGACCCAATGATTGGGAAGACTACTAATTAAAGCAGAAAAATCAAGAAAATTTGCCCCTACCCGATAAGTCTGGTTAAACTCATCAAAAGTCATCAACATGCTGTTAGACTTCAAAAGATCATTTAAAGTCCTTATGCCACTTTCGTACCATCTCCTAACCCAAGTGCACTTAAACTTTGTGAAGTCGGAAAAGAAGATATTACTTCGAGTAATGTCATCATCTTCCATTCGGTAACTATCTCGGAGATCTGCTAGATCTGCTAAATTTTTCTGTTTTAATTCAAGGTCAAATGCATTTCAAGGTCACTTCAATTTAATTTTATAATTAAAAATCAAAGCCTATATCAATTGCCTATAAGACCCTGTTAATATCATTTTGATACCGGAAAAGGAACCAGAGTTATAGCCATTTAAAAAATTGATGTGTGGCATTTTTCGCTATATTCGATGACCTATATCTCAGCGATACGTTATCAAATTTCGAAAATATTATACGTAACTCAGTTTTGAACCATGCCCAGTCTGCCTACAAATTTTCAGAAAAATCGAAGGGGATGACGGATTTCGGTGTTTGATTTGACGTGGAATGCCCCGTCCGCAAAACACTGTATTTTGCGCGCCGAGATGTGACGAGGAGCGTCAGGCGTGCCGACGTGCAGCTGGTGGTGTCTCGGTGTGACATCTGTCAGTCCATTGATCCGGCGCCCGTTCAGCTACCGCATGGGTCGAGGTGAGCGGGCTGTGGGAGCGCCTGGCGATCGACATCACGCACTATCAGTCTCAATCGTACCTGTCACTCAGCGGCGTCACCACGGTTTCAGAACTTCTAGGGACAATTTTCCAGGACGTCGCCACAAACCTTTGCTTGAGTCTGGTCGCCAATACCCACCTACCCCCAAATCTGCGTTCCTCGTTGGATTTCGGCCACTGTAATTTAAAAACGAGGGAGAAAAATTAATATTTAGTTGGGAAAAAACGAAGAAGTTACGCGGTAGTAGGCAATAAAGGCATATTCATCGATCATGAAATGCGTGCCCACATCCTTCTGCCTATGCATGTGACACATAAGTATGCATTAAATCGTATAATCGACTCCAACTGCTCATCCTTGAGCTGCTCTGCTCGCAGCTCCTCGGCACTCAGCGGTTTGATTCCCATCTCAATGACGGTACAAACCGACCGAGTGCACGAGTCGAGGTCGATGACCACTGTCACTTTTTGACTTTGCCCTTCTTTCATTGCCCTCCAAGACAAACGGCTCAGTCCATCCACGTGCGGTATTTCGGGCCCCGGGCGATGCCGCATCTCGAACTCGGAATCGGGCACGAGCAGCCTCAATGCATCCTTCACAAGTCGACCGTCAAGGTAGTAAAAGAACTTCTCAAAGAGCAAAGACGACCACTAGGCAGGGGTGCGGAGCCGGAGCTGGATCCGGAGCCGCCGGAGCCGGCATATTTTGCCCGGAGCCGGAGCCGGAGCCGTTAATAGCTGGCGTGGGTTTCTTGAGCCTCGTGACAATCGAATAAGGGCCCGGGCCCCATTCGCTGGTTTTTTTTGGGGGGGGGGGAAATTATATGATTACCCCTGATTTTCCCTTGGGGGCCCTGGCATCAGGGCCTTTGCATGGCCCTGATCCTACCCGTCGTCTCCAAACCCCACTCCGATGTTCCAGAGGGAATTGATTTAGGAAATGTTGGCTTGACCAGCGGCCGGCCCAGAGCGGCGGCCCAGTACCGCCCTGATCCTGACCTCCCGCCAGGTCCACGCGCACTGTGGTGACCAGCCCCTCATACAGCTGAGTCTGCCCCAGCTCGTAACCGGCGTGCAGCTGCACATCGTCATCGGTCGGGTTTATAAGCTGGGCCTGAATGTAACCAGCCGAGCTCGTTTCAGCAATCATGCTGGGCACCTCTAGAATCGGCTCGGGTGTCTCCTCGGGTGACTGGGAAACAAACTTGACCAATTTCTTGGACGAGTGCCGGCCTGCCATATCCAGCTTTACGGCGACCACACGCACGTGCCTGGAGGCCGGAGGGCACCGTCACATCTGTCGGGAGGCACACCGCTCGCGGGCCTTTTTATTTACCGTGGCGATGTTGACGCGACCGTTCGCAAGGCAAAACACATGTGTTCGGAGAGCTGAGCAAGTTGCGCCATTATCGTGTCCCGGGTTCTTTGCGTGTCCCCAGTAGAGGGAGCTCCAAAAACTTCTAGGGACAATCCCTAGTAGTTTTCGATGATTTCAAAACTTCTGGGGACAATGTCCCTAGTGTCCCTAGTGGTGGTGACGCCCATGCTGTCACTTATCGATTGTGGTCCATCGAGGTTTTGTCTATGGGGCCTGCTGCGCCGTCCAGACGCTGAAGCTGTGACCGAGTTCCTGAAGAGTTTTCTGTGAACGCGGTGCGCCGTGTGAAATACTCTGCGACAACGACACAGTTTTCCGCGGGCATCGGTTCGCGGCGTTTGCGGCAAAATGGGGCATTGCGCTGCGATTCAGAGCAGCGTATGCTCCAGCTGGTAATGGCATCATCGAGCGTAACCACCGCACGGTAAAGGTGATTGCTGAGCTAGGAAGAGGTGTTCCATTGAGGAGGCAGTGCACATCTACAATATCACGCCACGAGACGAAGAGAATGAAGAGGAGTCACCTGCAAGTGGCGTCTACCGATACCGTGTGCGAGATTGTGTGCAACACGCTGACCGCTCGCTCGAAGGTGCAGCGGAGGACGTGCACCAGCCTGTGAGAGGCTTGGTGGCCGGCGAGCCGGTGTGGGTCCGCCAGCAGGGCTCTCGATGCACAGACAGGTCACGGCCGGGCGTCGTAACCGCCGTGCTGTCGCCATGGGTGGTAGAAGTGGACGGGGTACCCCGTCACGTCAAAGATCTGCGGCGGCGGCAGGGAGTCTCTCCGCACCGTGATGGAGCGGCTGCGCAGCGAGGCGTGACGCGGTGCTCCGCCGGGCCCGCGGTTGATGATCTGCCGTTGCTCATCACTACGAGCGTCGCGGCCCCCGACTCGGCGGCCGTCGTGGCCGGCGACCCGGCTGTGGCGGTTGGTGGAGCGCCGGGGAGTGTGGCGACTGTAGCACCCGCGGCATCTTCTTCTGGCACGTCATCGGCCGTGTTGACACCGGCGGCCGTTGGAGCGGCGCCTGAGACTTCTTCGGCGGAACCAGGGGCGACTGAGCAAAGTGGTCTGCGTCGAAGCGCACGGAGACCAGTCGAAGTGAAACGCTTCTGCTGCGAGTTTGGTTATTGTGTGGATTCGCAACATAATTAAGTGATCTTGAAGATCAGGTGGGGGTGTGGTGTTAGGTTAAGTTCGGTGCGTACCGCCCCAGCAAGCTGCCTGGGAGCGCCCGTGCGCAGCCCCGAGACTGCCTGGACTCGCCCGGGGCGGGACGTGACCAGACTGGGTCGGTCGCGCGGCGCCCGGCTCGCGCCAGTGCACATTGCCCCAACAGACGGTAAATAACTTTTGAAAATACCCATCTCCAATATTAGTGTTTTCTGAACCAAAATTTTGCGAGGAATCCGATGGTGTGGTCCCCGAAATCTGAAAAATTTCCATTTTTGAGATAGCACCTATTTTTTGAAAAGTAAATATTCGTCATGCATAAAAGTCAAATAAATTGAAAATATAATGAGTGAATATTTGTAACAACATAAGAATGTATCGAACATAAATTAGTGATATAATTTATCTGCGATGATACTATATCTGCTCATACATGTACATAAACTAGTACATTAACCCTCGCCGGCCGAGAAGGGATGGGACTGGTGCCACCTCATAGGATTTTTTCGCGATAGCTCAAAACACGCTGAGGATAGACAGCTGAAACTTGGCATACCTAATCTTTTATTCAAGGTGGATCTTTTGACACCAACCACCCTTTCAGGTCAGGTCAGGTCACTGACCTATGACGTCATAAATGAGCCTCTGCGAGGTCCTCAAATGTTGCAACTTTGCAACGCCCTCAGTGCCAGAGGAACTTTCACAGGAAGATGAAACTTACAGGACGTAGTATCCTCCAGAGGTCTCACAACTTGTATATCTCGGATTTTTCCCAAAGGTCACATGAGGTCAGTTCGGTTACGTGACCTCACCATTGTAAGTCAATGGGGAAAAATACGAAGACTGTAATTTTGGCGCCGGAAATGATCTAAAACTGTCCCAAGCACATGAAATCGTGGTTTCATGCACTTCTTGTAAGGTCCGATCATGAAACCACGATTCCATGTGCTTGGGATAGTTTTAGATCATTTCCGGCGCCAAAATAACAGTTTTCATATTTCCCCCATTGACTTATAATGGTGAGGTCACGTGACCGACCTGACCTCATGTGACATTTAGGTTAAATCCGAGATATACAAGTTGTGAGACTTCTGAAGGATACTACGCCCTGTAAGTTTCATCTTCCTGCATGAAAGTTTCTCTGGCACTGAGGGCGTTGCAAATTTGCAACATCTGAGGACCTCGCAGAGGCTCGTTTATGACGTCATAGGTCAGTGACCTGACCTGACCTGAAAACGCGGTTGGTGTCAAACGATCTCTAATTCATGTTCGACACATTCTAGTGTTGTTATACAAAAATCAATTCATTATATTTTCAATTTATTTGACTATTATGCCTGGCGAATATTTATTTTTCAAAAAATAGGTGCTATCTCAAAAATGGAAATTTTTCAGATTTCGGGGACCACACCATCGGATTCCTCGCAAAATTTTAGTCCAGAAAACATTAAAATTGGAGATGGGTATTTTCAAAAGTTATTTACCGTCTTTTGGGGCAATGTGAGTGGGCTGGCGGAGTGTGCGGGACGCGGGCGGAGTGAGCGTGACGGACTCGGACTCTGAGACGGACCGATCGCAGACGGACTGGACGGGGCCCGTCTGCAGGAGACGACTACACGTGTGCCGGTGCGTCTACATTAGACTTCACTCCAAGTAAGTCCCACTACTTGCGATTACACTGGCCGCCAGCCGGTGGCCAGAGCCGGTGACGCCGACTCCGTGCTGTCCGGCCGCCAGCCGGTGGCCAGAGCCGGTGACGCCGACTCCGTGCTGTCCGGTCGCCAGCCGGTGCACGGTCTTGCCGAATACCAGATTAGCGCGAATTTAATCAAAAACCCGACTTTCGATAAAATGTTATTTATACCTATCAATTGGTAGGAAATTGTCCGAAGTTATCGAATAGAACCTTATTCTTAAGCCACTTTATCATTTGAGGACTTATATCCCTGCCGAAAGTAAACCCACGCTCCGGTTCCTGAAATTGGGCTATGGTACTGAGAAATATGCCCAGTTTTCAATGTAAATTTTACGGAAGCTTCGAGAAGATATATGAGAAAATAGCATATCACCGGATAGCACAATTCATGTTGAAGCTGTTTCTGCTATCATGGTAGCTTTTCAACGAATGGTTTCTGAGTTAAATGAGTTAGAACAGGAGCCCTGCATGTGTATCGTTCTCACGATAGTATTTCATAAAGAAGTTGGAAAATGTCAAAATGGATAAAAATGGATATGACGAATAGGGCATGGCTGAACTCTCCGCACATTTCTGAACATGAGCGAGCAAGTTTTGGCTGCCAGTTTTTGCCTATTTGCCGTCAATTCAGCTTTGAACATGTCTAGTCGGCCGCCCGGCGTGACCTGACCAAGGTCGGGGGCGGCGCGGCCGAACAGGCTCCAGCCTAATTAACTATCTCAAGCACACGGAATCGTGATTTCATGCACTCCTTGCAAGGTCCGATGCTTCACTTTTGCATTATTGGCCTTACGTGACGTCATTTATGACGTCACTAGGGTAATAAGAGTTTTTCGTCGATAATTCTCGATCAAATTGAGCTAACGAGTCGGGAAAGCCACCAATGGACTCAGGAAGACCTGCCGAATTGAATGATATGCGACATGACCTCCTTCGACCAACTTCGTGATCTGGTAAAATGATCGTGATGTAACCTGATCTTGACCCGAGGTCAACGCCTTAAGTTGACTTCAGCCGAACAAAAAGTATACCATTCGACGCACCTGAGCAAGGCGAACACGATGATGCCAAAATTGCGACTCTGTGGCATTTTTTCGCGAAGTTATTAATAAAAAACGAATCCGTGCCTTGGGCCACTTGACCTGACCTCAGAGGTCACAGGTTAACCTGAGACCTTAAAATCGGATACCAGTTGCTGCGTCTCGTAACGGCACAAACGCTCCTTTTTTCCGCGAGGCTCTAGCTTCATCAGGGGCGAAATAGCGACGGGGGTCGTACCCCCCCCCCCCTTCGGCCGGCGCGTATTTTGAAAACCAATAGGTCCGGCGAAGGGTAAATGTCAGTTTTGGAACCAGAGAACCATTTTCAGTGGATCCGAGCGGCGCTGGGATTAAATTCGCGCTAAACTGGTGTTCGGCCACACTGTGCGGTGGCCAAGCTTGACACGGGCGCGCGCGACACGGTATGTCCGCACTGCGGCGCCCTCACGTAACGTTAACAAAACACGGTCGTGTGCTTGAGTCATTTTCACAAAAGTTTATAGACTTTTCGATAATATTTTGGGTGGAGATTGGTCAGAAAGGAATGCTCTATCCAAATATGTTGGTTTCATTGCTAACTTCCGACGTTTTGAATACGTTATTGTGTTGTAAAGAACATCGCGCTCCGCTGGCAGCAATTTTCCAAATAACAGTTCGCTGACCGTGCGGCGGGTGAGCTGACCGTGAGCTGACCGTGCGGCGGGTGAACTGACCGTGAGCTCACCGTCCGGCGGCCGCACGGCGCACTCGTCGAATCCAAGTAGGGGTCGCCTCGGTCGGGCGACCGTCACAACGCACAGCCTCAGACCACGGATCACATAAGGTGATCCGTGCTCAGACATTACGTACGGTCCAGCGCTCGACAATGTTACACCGACCAGCGAGCCTGATGTCTGTCTGGTCTAGAATATTTTGACGTCTGCGACTCTGACTCTGACTGTCAGACTAGAACTGTCGACTCAGATTCCGACTTGATACTCATTCTGAGAAAAACAGTCCCATTTTCGCCGTCTTAATCAGATTTGTATCGGTCTCAGGGGCGCCCGACCAGAGGTGTGTGTGTGGGGGTGGGGGGGGGGGGTGATGGGGGGGGGGGCGGTAAGCTGCCCAGCTTGCCCTCGCCCGCGTAGTGACTGTAATGCTTCACTATCTCAAGTCCTTGTCCGCCGTTATTCAAAATCGGTGGCGCTGCTGCTGGTCTGAACATTCTATTTAAAGAGCAACATTTGCAGCACGTTGTAATCATGCGGGGGCTAACATGTTCTGATCTCACGTTTCCCCAGCCACCGCCGGTCATGCCGGCCACGTCACCCCTGTCGGCAAATCCACCAGTACGACTGAGGCGGTGCCGGATGGAATCGGCCGACACCGGCGAGGGTCAGCGGCCATGGCTCTCCGCGCCGCCCGTCCGTGGCCGGAACGACCTCGCCGCCGTGCACAATGCTGCAGACGCAGAGGGCGACTCTCAGGCACCCGCAGTTTGGAAGGAGCAGATCAAAGATAAGATGAAGGAAGAGATCAAGGAGGAGTTCGTGGAAGATATCGAGACGGAGCGGAAGGAGGAGGTCTATTCACCAGAGGTCAGTCAGTGTGTAGAGTGTGTCCTCATCAGCGACTGAATCCATGGAAGTGAAGAAATATCAACCGTCCTACCTTCTCTCCTGTCCCATTTTTTCTAAGCCGTAATCGTAGCTTTTGATAGTATAGGGTACGTCAAAGGTTTTTATACTTACGAATCGTTTTCTCCATTTAGCAAAAATTAATGCAACAGCTATTCATTTTACCGGTAAATATGTACATTCCCCATGAAGCTGGACACGAACAGGTGTCCCGGCCTTAGGTTTCGCTGCAAAGTCTAAGGGCTGATGTTTGCTCACGTCCTCTAGACCGTCGTTTTGAGCTACCCTGGGTCGCAGGGAGGTTTTGTCTATCCAAGCTCCTGGTGCACAAGTCCCAAGAGCAATTCGATTGGATTTAGCTCAGGGTTGTTCCCTGGCCTTGTGTCCTTCGCCCAGATATTGGAAAGATGCTCCAAGCACCACCTCTTAGATCAGGCAGACCAATGAACAGGAGCATTGTCTTCCATGAAAATGCTGTCCGCCCTGGGTGGCACTATGCGCCGCTGAAGGATGGAGCCCATGGTGGCCGTCCTGTTGATGGCAGGGAGTCGGGCTTTATTCAGAACATTCTATGTATATTGTATAGTAGTCAGCATTGACCACCATTTTCAGCGGAATCACGTCCAGCTAGCCCAGGTCCTGATAGGACATCCTGCGCTATGCCATCAGATGAAGCCAGAATTTCACGTTGGAATCTACCGGGATCTTTGCCATGTTTTCAACCCATACTCGCTTATTCTGGTTTGGTTGCCAAAACAGATAAAATGGAGACTCGTCGCTTAGCATGATCCGTTTCTACTCAAGTTCACTCTTCCACCATCCTGTTCTTGCCTTTCTCGCAAAATTTAATGCTCTGGAATAACTGATTTTACGTTAATTTTGGCCCTGCATGAGCCTTATGGGCCTTCAGTACAAATTTGGCCATCCAGTATCGACGGACAATCGTCCCAGACACCGGATGATCCTTTTGAGTTGGCCTTTTAGCCAGCTTTCTCGCAGAGTGCTGGGAATTTTCAGGGGCTTTCTCCATAACGGTCTTGGCGACGTTTGAAACGCAAAAGGGCCGCCCTGATTCTAGGCTACAAGCGACGCTCCCCTTCCCCTTAAACTTCTTTCACCGGTGCTTGATGATGGAACTGGGACTCAGGCGACGTCCCACTGAGCTGCCACCTTAGAGCATGTTAATAGCGCGACTACGCACCTCTAACCTGAACAGTTTGACCCTGATGTCTAGGCCGTGGTTCATGCGCCAATCACTGGGTAAACCGGGCCTATATTAGGTGAAATAGGTAATTAAAAAAAAAAAACAATATTTGGCTATTATTTATCGGTTAGCTACTTATTTGGTTAAATAACAGTGCGTTGCGTCTGTTGACGGTATCCGGACAAATCCTCGTAAGACATGTATTCGTGTCGTTGTTTGACAGACAGTTGTTCGTTGTTTCCTGTTTGATCTAGGCTGAGCTGCCCTTCTTACCATGGACACCAGACGAGGATCCTTTGTCGGTCAGCGCTCTGCAGTCTCTGGTTAAGGAGGAAAACTTGCGGTGTCGGTTGCCGTCACCGTCTGAGGACTTCATAGGGTTCACTGAGGTGGACCGGGACAAGTAAGTTCATGACTTTGTGGGGAGCATTCTGGTCTAGTGGAAGTTTCTCCCCTCTAGATTCAACCTTTCGGGTTCAATTGTCGATCAAAGCATGCGACATTGCATCTACGTGGTTGCTTGGAATATCGTGAGAGTTCCGGCTAGCACTCGCCACTTGGTCCAGTGGATTTTGTACTTAATCAAAATTGTATTTTTTTTTTGGTAAGATAAAATTGATGATTCTTTTTTAGTTCATGTAGCTCATTTTTTTATGAGGCCAAGGCGGCTAACTTTGCTGGAGGTCCTCAAATTAAAAGTTGAGCTACAAATATTTCCCTGTTTTGCAATGATTTGCAACTTAACTGTACTATATGACTTGCAAACTAAAAAGGCCACTGTGTCGCGAAAAAGCGCGTCCGATAGCTGTTATGGGGTTTGATTCGCCCTATGTCCTCAGCTTTAGCCTCTGGTCAACGGAGAGTTAAATTTGAACGCAAAAGTATTAAAGTGATCGTTTGCATATTTTTGCTTACTATTTTTATATGCTAATTAAGCAATTCATTTATCGACATTTGCAGGACATCAAAGCCCATCCGGAAAGGGTCCTCGCTGCTGGTGTACTACGGATACGACTCGGTCCGGGAGCTGGCTGTCCACTCGGAGACGTGTGGGACGTCTCTGAATTCCCCTCCGGCCGGACCGTCGTCCTCCGGTGGGTGCGCTGCCTTTTGGTTCATGGTTGTCATTGAAGTTGGGACCCCTCATGGGATGAACCCGCCCTCGGGCGCAAAACTGAGGTGTTGAAACATCAATACGAGGGTGTGCGTATTGCCGATGCGTATTCGGTACATTAGGGAAGTTTAGGGGTGTAACGAGCAGTCGGCCTTTTAGAGGCCAATTATCTGTTGGGATGATAGACTAGCGGTTTTTATAGCTCTATAAGTTGTTTCTTAGCTGGGGCATGGTTAATGTATAAGACATTTTTAAGGCTGGTGTAAGAAAAAGCCGAAACGTTATATACGTTACAGGCATTCTGTGGAGTCCGACATCAGACACTCAGAAATGGAACGCCCAGGGATTAGATTTTATCGTCGAATTTCGATTTTTTAAATCATCGTCATTACCAAATTTTATTGACCCAGGCATGTTAAGATACCAACAAAAGAAAAAGTGTATGGACGGAAACTCTGCCTGCTCTAAGGCTAAGCGGTTGAACGGTAGCCTGTCGGACCGGCGCCAGGCGCTGCAGTGCTGCAGTCTCCCCGTAAGTCACGCGCAAACAACACCGCGCGGCGGCCGGAGCAGTGCCGCCGCGCTCCCGGTCAGCTGGGGTTAAGCGTTTTCTGATGGCTCCAAGGGATAATCTTAAGCTTTCCTAAGAACCTCCCTGCCTTGGAGCTCATTATTGAGCAAAAATGTCGCGCAAAATACATAGAATATTGACCTTGAGGTTGTCGGCACATATGAGAAGGGAATGCTTTGGCTAATGCCTGCTTCCATAGAAGTAGATTGTGGAAAGCAGAACACATTTCTTCTGGAGATTATTCATGTTCTGTCTTCCTAAATGCCTGCTTAATGAATTGAAGCACTCATATTTACTCCAGGACCTGGACGTGGCTGTTAATTTTATGCATGGAATTCCGCTACACTATATTTTCTCGCTCAATGTCTCTTCAGCTAGGTACCTATATTGAGGCGTCGCCGGTCGCGGCACAGCCATTCCCAGCACGCAACCACCTAGAGGAAAATCAATGTGGGCATGCGTTTTGTGTGCCTGAGTGTGTATGTAAGCCTAGGGCTTGGGCGTGTACCAGCAGCCGTTGTCACCAATCTCCACTACTTCCACCTTGATATCGATGCATACCTCCCACCACTTCTCACTTCCGACCAGGGTTGTTTGAAGATAATTTTACTGAAACATTTAGGAATGTCTAAGCTAAAGTTAAACACAGAAAGGATACCACAGAAATTCGATTACATGTTAGCTGTATTGCCCAGTAGGTAAATGCCAGCCTCAATGATGGGGATATCTCAAACGGTTGATGGCATGACTGATGGCCAGGTACGAGCTCAAGGCAAGTCATCTTGGCCGGTAGGCATCGACGGGGACAATATTCTTACACTGATGTCGTCGCCCTCCGTTATTCATCACCATTCAGCAGCAAGCCCAGATCTTCCGGCCTGGGACCGGAAGGCGCAGGTGGAGCAGGAGGCAGTAGCGGCGGAACACTTTCAATTAAGGGGTGGGGGCACCGCCGACTTTTGGTCCCATTCTTTCCATGCAACGCCCATAGGGCTAATGTTAAAATGGCAAAATCAAGGGGGCACGGTGCCCCGGTGTCCCGCCCCCGTTCCGCCGCAATGGGTGGATGAGCAAGACATTGCGACAATGGGGATATCTCAATGGCACTGAAACTCGTCGCCGCTCATTGTCGTCACCGACAGGGCTGCGTAGTCGGAGTCGGAGTCGGAGTTGGAGTCGGTCGGAGTCGGCAATTCTGCCCGGAGTCGGAGTTGGAGTCGGAGTCGCCAAAATCTTATCGACTCCGACTCCGGAGTCGGAGTTAACGCTGCATGGCTCCACGTCATGCACTGCACCTGTTGAATTGACGATACTGCTCTCGAAATTAGATTTTGTCGAAAAAAATGACCACTTCGCTGTTTTGGACGAACGTTTTCAGAGAAAGAAGCAGAAGACGGTGAATTCCCCAGAACCTGCTTGTTAATTCTGAATATTGTTTTATGCATATTTGCAGCGCAAAGCCCTGGAACGCACAAAGGATCGTTTCAGGCAAGATAAAACATATCCATTATGACTTATGAGCTTCAGTATTGCACGATATGGATTTTAATAGAACCGTCCGGAGTCGGAGTCGGAGCTGGGGTCGGAGTCGGAGTCGGAGTCGATTTTTAAAGCCGGAGTCGGAGTCGGAGTCGGAGTCACCCTAAAATCCATCGACTCCGCAGCCCTGTACTCACCGAGACGGGCCCACGCTGCCATTGCTCGCAGAACGGTGCATAAATGATGTTATCGGTGCAGCCGGTGTCGATCAGCGCTCGACAGTCTCGCCCGTTGACTCGCAGTTGCACGACTGGCAGAGCGCCGCTCAGTGCTGCACGCGAGAGGACGCCGGCGCTGACTCGTCCTCTCCCCCGTCGTTTCCCGCATCTCGGCGAGGGCCAGAGAACGACATATCAGTCGGGGGAGGATTGGTCAATCGTTGTCATTTATAGCACGTGCTATTTTTGTCACACGTGCCAAAAATGGCAACGATTCTGCTGTTTTTGACAACGATGAAGCCGATTTCACTACTCAGCGAGGAAATCACGATTTTGGAAAGATAAGCACTGATTTCTAGACAATCTCGAGCATTGCGATACATATACAATTAACACACTGATTAAGAAAATTGCACCTAGTGTGACCACTCATTATGCCCCAGAGGTCATCCCAGGTCATGAAAGGCCCACAACAGTTTTTTTTAATAACTTTTGATAAATACATGCTAGAGCGATAAAAGCACCTCAGTTGTGTTCAGCTCGACGACACGGATCGACTGATATGAAACATCACCTTTCCCGGCCAGGTCATGACCTTGACCTAAGGTCAAATTCTCGAAATTACCTTTCATAAGGTCAACCCATAGTTTATTTGACGTGTCTCGACGACAGAAACGCGATGCTGGCAAACGTAATGTCGAGACTCTTGAGGCAAAAGTTATTGCAGGAAAACATTGTTCGTAAAACGGTTATTTTTAGTTTTTTTTTGCCCTCTGAAGGCTCAACCGTTGACCTGAGGTCAAATCTGAGCGCAGTTTACACAAACACCTTTGAAAGGGCTATCGAATGCGCTTTTCCGCGGCGCTATAGCTCTATTGGTTTCCGAGATATGTGCTGTGCCGCTGTTTCGAAAAATGTTGAATTAGACAACATTTTACCTTTGATGACCTCTGGTGACCTGACATTCGACCTGGCCTAAAAAATAACCGGTTTGTTTTCGTCCTGTTTTTGGACGATATTTCGAATGCTGCTTATTACGTGTCACTACGCGGCCCAGGAGCCGAGTTAGACGAGGGGAGCACGACACGGAAAACTCAGACCACCAGCACGGCGCGGGTTAAAAGTCGTAGATGGGCACCGCTACGCTAGCAAAAGAGATTAGCAAAAAGGTGGCCTCCATTTGCTGATGCGTCCTTCTTCTCCCGGTGACGTCCCTCTTTTTTCTGGAAGCGTTTCACTTATGCTGGTATGCCTCACTTCTCCCGGGGGCGCCCAACCTCTGCTTGGATCGCCCAATCCCTCATGGGAGACCCACTTTGCTTAAGTCGCCTCATTTCTTCCTTCTATAAGAACGACCAATTTGCTGTAGGCGGCCCACTTATCTGGGACGCCCATCTTCTGCTAGAAGTGCCCCTCTTCTTCCTGATGCGTCCCACTTCTACTAGGAGTGCACCTTTTCTGTAAGGGCGCCCCTTTCCTGCTGGGGAGTCCCTTTTCTACTTTGAATGGGGCGGCCCTCTCCTGTTGGGCGACCCAAAATTCTGCTAGAGGCGCCCCACTTCTGCCCAACTTTTGATGAGGTGCCCCTCTCCTGCAGGGGGCCCCTCTCTTCTGCTGGGGCGCCCCTCGACTTTGCTGGGGGCGCCCCTCTCCTGCTGTAAGCACCTGTCTTCTGCTGGACCCCTTCTACTGCCGGGGGCGCCCCTCTTCTGCCAGTGGCACCCATTTTCTTCTTATGGAGCTCCTCTTTTTTTTTTGCTGGGGCGCCCATCTGCTGTCAGGGCGCCCCTCTTCTTCTCGGAATGGGGCGCCTCTCTCATTTTGCTGGGGCGACGCTCCTCTTCAGGGGGAGGAGCGGAGCACCTCTGAGGAGCACCTCAGGAGAGGAGCACCTCTCCTGTTGGGGGTGCCCTTCCGCTGCCAGGGGCGCCCCTCTTGCACAGAACGTATTTTTTATTCTTGTAATGAGACGCCCCTCTTGCTAGGGGCGCTCATCTGCTGCTGGGGCGACTCTCATCTGCTGGGAATGGGCAGTTGGGCGTCGCTCTCCTGCTTGGTGAGCCCAACGTCTGCTGGAGGCGCCCTATTTCTGCTGAATCTTTGCTGTGCCGCCCGTCTTCTGCTCGGGGCGCCCTCTCTGCCGCGGGATATATGGGCGCCTTTTTCGGATGGGGAGGGGGGGGGGGGTCGGCCGCCCCTGGATCCGCGCCTGTAGCCATCTACACCTTGCTGCGCGAACATTTCGGACGCACTGCAATACCGGCCGTAGCCAAAAAAAACATCCTAGCTGCATTATTAAAACAGACCTTAGATTTCCTCAAATTAAACATGTGATAGGAATGTCATAGGTGCATGTTACTAATATTCGAACAATAAATGCTGTACAAATACTTCTTCACATTGTGTGTGCACAAAGCAAACTTACGAATAAGGGGGTTAGCTCTACAGCATAGTTGGTAGCCTGTACTGTGGTCGCATTTCAGAATCATCAGCTCTGGCGAAATCAGAAGATATCAGATATCCAAGATGCTTATAATCATTAACAAAGTTAAGAATCTGGCCACAGAGAAAAATCCTGGGTAAGGTCATGTCACGAAATTTCTTAGGTAACATTGCCATACAAACAGACTTCTTGGAATTAAACAGAATATCGTGACTCACAGCATAACTCGCGTAAATATTCAGCAATTTCTGCAGGCCAAATGAAGACGG